TTGATTAAAAAAGTTGCACTTTTTTTATTTTGGCTCAGACTCATCCAACACTCATTTTAACACTTCTAGTGCTAATTCTAAAGGCCGCACTATGATGTCATCTGCACGCCGCATGACATCATACCAGCAGAGTAGACGACATCATACCTCCACGCCCCCCCGGTCCGGGAGCCGCGCCCCATCCTTCAGCCAGGTGATGGACGGGCTAGGGTTGCCGTCGGCAACACACGACAGAGACAGCCGGCTGCCGACCAGAGCCTCCACGACAGGGGGCGGGGTTTGGGTAAAAGTGGGCGGAGCTAGGGAGCAACGCAAAACGTGAACAGCATGTATTTAAAACCATTTCTATAGGGCATTATGGAAATTGTAAAAGTATTTACAATCAATTCTAAAGAGTAATTAGTACAATATTAGTAGAATATTATTAGTAACACAAAAAGTTATACAGATCAAAGCAAACAAACATTCAACATCCTACATTGAGAGAGAGACACACACACACAGTCACAAACCCACATGCGCACACACAAAGGTACACACACACACACACACACACACACACACACCATCACTCTTCTTGACCCCCATGCTCGTTTTCCCGGGGGGGGGGGGGGGGGGGGGGGGGGGGTCACGCCGATCAGCTAAGGAGTCATGTGACTTAACACCTCAGGCCCCAAACCTGTCAGCCAGGGTAAACTCACCTTTGACCTCCCCCCTTCCCCCATCCCCCTCCCCCTCCCCCTCCCCCATCCCACACACACACACACACACACACACACGCACACACAACGCCTGAGATGCTCCCGCTTTGATCTGAGGCGCTAAGCTAAAGCTAAAGAGTCACAAGCACAACAACAACCACCCCCTTCCATGAGGATGAGGGACGCTCAGTGCGACAGCCACCCACTTCAAAGCAAACACACAAGCCAAGATTTCAGTTTGCCAATTATATTACTATTCGACGCCACTCGTTCCCTTCGCCGACCGGCACACAGGTTGACGGAGACGCATCACAGACACGCAAAGGACTTTTTAAAGTAACAAAATACATTAAAACGGTATAGAAACTTTGCTAAAAGTACGACACATGGAGTAGATTTATATATACGCACACACACAGAGTTCATTAACAAATGTCGTGGCGTGTGTGTGTGGTTGGCGGCTGCTTTAAACAGCCTCACCTGGCCTCAGTCAGACTGATTAGACTGCGTTGGGGCCGGTGATGAGGCTGCACACCTGTGGTGCATGATGGGAGAAATCAAGGCGCCAAGGATAAAACCAAGCCACACAATC